GGACACATCTCCATCCATAAACACATTTCCATCCATGGACACATCATCCAGGGACACATCATCCATGGAAACATCATCCATAAACACATCTCCATCCATGGACACACCTCCCATGGATACATCTCCATCCATGGACATATCTCCATCCACGGGCACATCTCACAGTTTCACTGTTGCCTTTACAACCCCAGGTTCCACTGATGAAATTCCCTCAATCCCAGCTCTCCAGCCCCATTGCCCCCCGGTTCTCTCCTTTCATAATCACTCCTGTGTGCCTTGAATCCTCTGGGAATCCCAAGGAACACATCCACCCTGGAAGGGCTTCCCGTGGTGTTTAGGACCTGCTAAAAAGCCAGCTCAGCAGGACACTCAACACTGCTAGGAGGGAGTTTAACCACACAGAGGATCAGAATTTGCCTTTAGTCATCACAAAGTCTGGAAAAGGGTAGTTGGAATGCCCGAAAAACATCCCAAACCAGTGACTCTACATTAGAAGAAATATTCCACAAAGGGATGGTGTCAGATCAACCACTTGGAGCTTCCAGACAAAGGTTTCACCAGGATGTCAGAACGAGAGGTGTCTCAGCAGTGACAGGAGTTGCTGGTCATTAAGTACTGGAAGGACTGGAAATAAAAAACTTGGCACTGAGGAACTGGAAGGTGAACAACACAGGCAGAGCAGCAGAGAAACGTTTTGCCCCTTCTCCTTCCCTTTGGCATGGGGAGAGAGGACATTGTTGGTTCAGATAACTCAGTTCAACAGAAGTCAGGAAAAAAAAAAGGAAGAAAAACTGACTTTAACTGTCAGAGTTGGTAAGGAGAAAAAAAAATTAATAATAATGCAGCCCTTAAATGTGTCCATAAAGCTGCCACACTCTCATGGGGAAATCTAATTTGTCTTTCTGGCAATTATCACTCTTTGCCATCTCACACATGTGTCTCGTTGGTGTAGGTGTCTTTTCCCACCTGGATCAAAGGACTTGTTGCTCTGTTTCTTCTCAAGAAACCTGAAAATTCATAAAGCTTTGTCATGTCAAGGGGCAGCACTGAAGTTACAGCGGGCTGGGAGAGAGAGGTGAAACCATTCCCACAGCCTGTGACTCCAAGACAAGGGAAACCCTCTGAATCAGTGCTGGGGGAAAGAGCTGGAAAGAATTAAAATGCAAAAGACACACGACTTGATTAGCCCTGAACTGAAAGACTTCTGAGCAGAGTGTTTTCAAACTGATGCATGTCCTTGTAAGATAAGAGAAACATCTTCAAAAGAATATTTGTGGGCTTATAAGCTCTTTACTCTGTGCACAGATCTTCTGGTTGGAAATGCAGCATGACAGCCTAATGGATGTCACAGCTTTGAGGAGTTTATTGGAGAAAGTGGTGGCAAAATCATTTGCATGGATTACATTGCTTGGCTTCACCTCTGTTTAATTCCTCTGAAAGGCACAATTGCCTTTAAACTGAAGGAGGGTAGATTTAGATGAGATATTGGGATGAATTTTCCCTTGTGAGGGTGGGGAGGCCCCAGCACAGGTTGCCCAGAGAAGCTGTGGCTGCCCCATCCCTGGAAGTGTCCAAGGTTGGATGGAGCTTCCGACCCAAACCAGTCTGTGATTCTGTGATAATATAATTCAAATGACAGAGAAGGCTGTGAGAAACATTAAAGACACTTCAGAGTGGTCAATAAATGATAAACATGATGTTAAATTAAAATCCTTGTTGACCAACAGGAGGTAGTGTAGAGATGGAGTGATTTTAGTCACTCACATACTTGGTCTTAAACCAGTTACAACCCTTGGGGTAAAAACTTGAGCACTACCAAGGCCAAGGCCTTTCCAGCCCCAGCAACTGCTCAGAATATGTCAAATATTACAGAGCAGAAACAATCTGAGTATTGAGATGCCATTTGATAAACCACTGGAATGCAGCTTTTCACTCTTCCTACCTTGCATCGAAAATAAACGAGAAAAAACAAGCAACCAAAATGCTCAGGAAGGTTCTTATAAGTATTAGAAGTCTGGTGAACCTTCCATGGGAAGAGAAGGGATGGAGCAGATTGGTTCTGTGTGCTCTGGAGCAGAGAAAATAAGAGGACACAAGGTAGAGGGAAATTAAAGAAAAAAAAGTAATTAAAAGAAGCACAAAGTGCACTCCTGAGCTCTTCCTCTCCCTGCAGAAAGGATTTAAACTGAGAGCAGGACACAGTTTGGTGACTTGGTTTATTTTTTCAAATCAAACCAACTGTTAACATGTGGAACTCTTTGCTACAAGAGTCAAGGAGGTCAAGGATGGGAAGGATTTAAGAACCATTACATATTCACACAATAATAAGAAAACCCTCCAGAGTTCCCTCAGAGCAGAACACCAAGACTTTTGCTCTTTCCTTTATTGCATCTCCCTGCCTGGGGCTGGGCCAGGAGATTTCTGTCCTGCTTCCTCCACCACAGTCCTGGACAAGGAAGAACAATGATCCGGTTTGAAAATTCCAGATCCTTTCCCAGCTGAAATCCCGGCCTTCAGAACAGAGCTGGGAAATCCCTGTCGGCTGCACAGTCCCAAATTTCAGAGCCTGAATTCTAAACACTCCACTCCCTGTTCTGCTTTGCCTTCACACTGCATTTGGTATCCAAAGATTTTATTAACGCTGCTAAGCTGATTTTAATTACTGTTATTATTCAGCTGTACTAGGAAGCTTTTTTATATTCCTATTGTATTTTCAACAATGCCTTTACACAGTATTTTTATTATTCCCTGATTCAGCTCTTTTGCACACACTTCCCTGTTCTACAAAACCTTCTGGATCTTGTGTTATTAAACTAAATCAAAAGATGTGCATTTTACAGCAGTTTTACTCCGTGTTGCTGTGGCATTTATTCAGCCCTGGCAACAGAAATAGAAGAGCCAACCATTCCCACAGGGATGCAAAGCTGGAGCAGGGATTGATTGTACATTTTATAACTTTTCCAGCTCAACTTTAACTCAAGTTCAGCTGATGGTATCTGCATGATGATCCCTGCATGGCTCTTCTTGGCAAAACAGGCACCTAAATGAAAGCTTTGTCCCTGTAAGGGAATTGTCCTCTTTATTTTAAAGATGGGAAACCAGGATTCAGAGAGCAAAAATCACAGGACCCTTTAAGTAAGGTGGCATTAAACCAAGAACCACAGTGCACTCTGCTCCAGCCACTGCACAAACCACTCATTAATTTGAATTTGAGGTCGCTGAAAACAATGAGGAGACAAATGATAAATGGAAAGGAAAGCGAATGATTCTTTTTCTGATTCCTCCAGAATCCCAGAATGAGGAGTGGCTGCCTGGCTGGGGGCAGTTGCTGCTGAACAGTCCCAGGTAATAGAAGCCTGACAATAAAACTGGCACGCAGTTGTCACTTTGTGCAGGAAATAATGGGTTTGAGCCACCACATAAACAGCGGCTACTTCGTCCTCTTTTACATTTGAAAGCTTCAGTTTTCCCCTCTGGCCCGGTTGTCAGAGCTCATGCCCAGATCTGCAGAGAAACCTCGGCAAACCAGAGGGCTGGGAATCACCAACCCTGGGAAGTTCAACATGGGAAGTGTCGGATTCTGCCTCTGGGATGGGGCAGCCCTGGATGTACGGAGAGAGTGGGAATGAGAGGTTGGAAAGCAATGCTGGGAAAGGGCCCTGGGGGTCGTTGTCAGTGGCCAGTTGGCCCTGAGTCAGCAGTGCCCTGGCAGCCAGGAGGGCCAAACCTGTCCTGGGGGCACCAGGGAGGGGATTGTCCCCTCTGCTCTGCCCTGGGGCAGCCTCACCTCAATACTGGGGCAGCTTGGGGTGAATATACAAAATAAGGAATATATTGAGCCATTAGAGAGTGTCCAAAGGAGGCAATGAGGATGGGGAAGGGCCTTGATTTGGAGCCGGGGGAGGACACTGAGGGCACTTGGGGTGTTCAGCTGCAGAAGAGGAGACTGAGGGCAGAGCTCATGGCAGTTCCAGCTTCCTGGGGAGGGGCAGAGGAGGGGCAGGGACTGAGCTCTGCTCTGGGGGGACCAGGGACAGCACCCAGGGAATGGCTGGAGCTGTGCCAGGGGAGGGTCAGGTTGGATCTCAGGCAAAGGTTCTTCCCCCAGAGGGTGGTTGGCACTGACCAGGCTCCCCAGGGCAGTGGGCACAGCACCAAGGCTGCCAGAGCTCCAGGAGAGTTTGGATGATCCTCTGGGGCACAGGGTGTGACTCTTGGGGATGGGCCTGTGCAGGGCCAGGAGTTGGACTGGATGATCCCTGTGGGTCCCTCCCAGCTCAGCAGATTCTGTGATTCTGTGATCACTGCCCTCAGGAAGGTACCAGGACCCACAGCAGGGCACATTCCCTGGGCACAACGAGCCCCTCAGAGGAGGAAGAAGGAGCAAAGCAGCAGGAGCCAGGTGAATATGTTCTTCCAAACACTGTCACCCACATAAAACAGAGACTGTAACTGCAAACAAGGGCCATCTAGAACAGCCCCAGGATGCTCTGGTTTGTCCCTGGTTCATGCAGCTGATGCTGCAGTGAGTTGCTGTGGCCACACAAGCACATTTTAGCCCAGCAGGCCCCTGGCATCAGCAGGATGAGTGATGGCATGGCCAGGAGTGATGGCATGGTTTGAACACGGTGCCAACCCATGTTTTCTGAGCTCTGCCAGGTCTATCAGCTGATGTCAGGTGAGTCACTGTGTGACTCTGGCCCTCAGCCTCCCCGTTTGTAAAGGGCAAGGAAGGAGCTGGTCTGTCCACAAAGCCACCTCACAGCCTGTTTGAGAAACCACCACTTCTTTTTCTCTCCATCATTGTTTCAAAAGGGGTTTTCACCTTACTCAGGTGTTTCAGCTTCTCAGCAAAGCAAGCAAGGAGGAAATTACCCCCAATTTCCTTGATGCTGCATGAAAGAATTGCACAGTGGTTAAATGAGGACTATATGATCAATATAAGCTACTGTATAATGCAGAAAGATTATTGGCAATCAAAGGAAAAGCAAAGCAGGCTATTTTTTGTTAAATGGGTGTGTCTGGGTCCTTGTTAAAGTTGCTCAGGGCTTGCAATAAAGTGCAATGTTCAGATATAATGGTTATAAAGCAATGTTAATATGTGCTGGGGGGAGTTTCATGCAAGTGAGCTCTGTAGCTCATAAAAATGACACTGGGGTGTATTTTACCATCCCAGCAAGAAAGGCTTGTAAAGCAGCTGTGCTGGAAAGTAAATAAAATAGAAATGACTCATAGAGAGGAACAGTTTCCCCACCGTGGAGACTTTGGGCGCTGTATCACTTTTTATATTATGCTGTATTAAGACAATTGCTTTGATCTCAGCAATAAAGGAAGTTGGCTCAGCTCCTTCAGTTTTGCTTAACCAGACTGAGATCTTCTGCAATAACTTTAGTGGGAGTGCTCAGAAATAACTGAAGTTATCTTCTGCAATAACTTTAGTGGAGTGCTCATAAAGAATCCCCCTAAAAAACCAAGCGCTGGCTGGGCCCTCTCCAGCCTTGTGTTCCCTCCACGGCCAACCACACCCAGGACTGCTTCTGGGGCTTTGTCCTCCCTCACCACCAGGCTCTACTGGCCACAAGAGCGAGGTGAGGAGGTCTCTGGCCTTACCTGCTTTGAAGATCCACTCCAGGTACCCGTTGAGCTCCCGCTCGATCTGCTGCTGCCGGCGGAGCTTGAGGAAAGCTCGGCGGTTCTCCACCCGCTCCCGTTCTTTGGCAAATTCACTGTGGAGAGGCAAGAGAGAGGAAAGCACCTGTCACCAGCGGTCATGGAAAACACACAGCCCTCCTTCAGCCTCTCAGGTTGTGTTCATGAAGCTTGTGAAGTCAACAGCAGTGAGTGGAAACCACAGCAAGCGACAGCCGACAAAATATGACTTGACTGGAGCTCAATTGAGTTTGTTTCTCTGCCTCTCAAACCCTGAAAGAACCTGGAAGATTGCTTCTCTGCCTCTCACATCATGAAAGAACCTGCCAACTGCCCTGTGCACATGTTTCTTGTGCCCTGTGGCCACACCACAGCCATTGCAAGGAGATCCTGGTGCACAGCCAGTCATACAACACCAATTATTATCCTCAGCACTAAAATCCATCTCTCTCCACAGCAGAATTTCCCCTGGAAGCACAAGATTAAGTCACAGAGATATCAGCACTCCTGTGAAGAGATCTGCTTTTCCAATGGCAGCCTTTCATTTTTCCCAGGCTTAAGATGTCTGTGAGAAACAGGAGCTGCAAGTGAGGCTGGGTGCTCTGGGGTTGAGGTGAAGTAGCTCAGATTCTCTATGTTGAGGGTAAAAATGATCCTGCTATTTGCTAAAATCACATGGTAAGCAAGTATCTGGTATCAAATTATTAGAACAGGGCTGCACAGGGAATTCAGAAAGGAAGGTTCACCCAACCATTGCAATAATCACATCCAAGTACATCCTGCTGCCCAGTTTGAAACGATGCTGAGGCAAAAGCACAGCCACCAGCCAAGACAACTCACTCTGGGGCTTTCCCCAGGCTAATTCCTGTCACCTTTGGGAAGTTTCTGATGCCCCAAGTGAAGATGTACGTGCCCATCTGCCATTCATAGAGCTCTGAGCCAGCCTCTGCAGCCCCTCCCTTTGGGCACACACTGGAGTGACTCTCACAGAGCCTTTATCTCTGTGGTTAAAATGGGATCAGGATTCTGTCCCTCAGGTACTCCAGAACCTCACTCATTCGATGATGAGTCCTTGATGTCATCAGTTAACTGGTAATTGTTGCAAACCTGTAGTTAACCACAGATTTTGACTAAAATCTCGTGTGATCAACACACAAATGTTCTCAGAAGCCAGGAAGGAGCAGGAGATGGGAGGAAGGAATGGGGGGAAAAGGAGCTCCAAGTGCCAGACACAGCTTTACATTCCCAGTCTACAGAGGTGACACTTTTGCTTGGTTTGGCAGCACTGTCTGACCCGGGAGAGGGGACTGTGAGGAGAACTTGGCTCAGCACCGACCACACGGCACAGCCACCGATGGGAGAGCTGCCATCAGCTGAGCCCTTGTCTCGATGTTGGCAGCACATCCCAGTCTCCTGACTCCCCTTTCCTGTCCCCCACCTGACAGGACAGCCCACGACCCCATCCTTGGAACAGAGGAAGTGAAAACACGGCTCTGAACCAGCAGCTCCTCCTTGGCATTCAGCACATCCCTGCGAGGCCGTTCGGGACCCTGCGCGTGTCAGCCCGGGCACTCTTCTCCACCTCCCTTTCTGATGTTCTCATTTCTGGTTCAGTGCCTGCTGGTTGGGGCCATGGACCTTCTCTGAGTGTTGATTTCCCCCTGGAGCAGCAGGAAGGAGATCAGACAGCACGAGGTGACAACATGCATTTGAATTTCCAGGCGTGGAGGGGCCACGTTTAATGTGTTACAGGCTCACGTCACCACAAACTTCCCAGAGGAGGAGGCAACACCTGGTAGGAAGTTTCCTGGAGGACCCCTCTGGGCAGAAAGGACAGCAGATGAGCCATGGCACTGCTCCCTCACCCCTCAGGAGCAGCGAAAGAAGAGCTTTCCTTGCAAAGCTTTTCATCCTCTGCCAGCTCCAATCCTGCCTAAGGAAAGTAAAACTCCCCAGGACTTGTCCCTTTAATCACAACTTTATATTTCAGAATCACAGAATATCCTGAGTTGGAAGGGACCCACAAGGATCACTGAGTCCAACCCTTAAGTGAATGGCCTGTGCTTTAAATGTGTGGGAAGGTGAGGGAGGAACTGGGAGAAGCTGAAAACCTTCAGCAGTTTCTGCACAGCCACATATGTGTCTCACAAGCCACCAGTGGGGAACTGCCCCCTCCTGCTCCCTGGAACTGGCAGGTTTGGCATTCACAGAATCATGGAATTATTTTGGTTGGAAGGGACCTTAAGGATCATCTTGTTCAACCCCGTGCCACGGGCAGGGACACCTTCCACAATCCCAGGTTTTTTCGAGCCCCGTCCAACCTGGCCTTGGACATTTCCAGGGATCCAGGGGCAGCCACACCTTCTCTGGGCAACCTGTGTCAGGGCCTCCCCACCCTCACAGGGAAGAATTCCTTCCCAATATCCCATCTAACCCTACCCTCTGTCAGTGGGAAGCCATTCTCTTTTGTCCTGTCACTCCAGCATTTGTAAATAGTCTCTCTCCATCTTTCTTTTAGGCTCCCTTCATGTCCTGCAAGGCCACAATTGGGTCACCCCAAATCTTCCCTTCTCCAGGCTGAACAATCCCAACTCTCCCAGCCTTTCCTCCCAGCAGAGCTGCTCCAGCCCTCTGATCATCTTGGTGCCTCCTCTGGACCAACTCCAGCAGCTCCATGTCCTTGCTGTGCTGTTCCCCAGGGCTGGAGCAGCTCTGCAGGGGGGTCTCACCTGAGGGGCAGAGGGGCAGAATCCCCCCCTGCCCTGCTGCCCACGCTGGGGGATCAGCCCAGGGCATGGGGGGTTCTGGGCTGGGCCATGTCCAGCCTCTCCCCCACCAGCACCCCCAAGACCTTCTCCCAGGGCTGCTCCATCTGCTCATCCCCAGCCTGGATTGATCCAGGGGCTGCCCCAACCTGGTGCAGCACCTTGGGCTTGGTCTTGTTAAACCTCATGAGATTCCCATGGGCCACTGCTTGAGCTTGTCCAGTTCTTTGTCCAGGCATTGGAGCTGTGGAAGCTGGGAAGATAATTCCCAGGTAATTTCCAGGAGAAGACAATACCCTGACTCCCTGCTCACTGAATTCCTTCTGAGGGTACAGAGCTGTAGCAAAATCATCCAGGCTGAAGACTGGAGGGTCCTGATGTAGGGTCTTCCTGGTAAAAGGATGCATCACTTCTTCCTTCTCCTGTCTCCAGGAGATGGGAGAGAAGTTTGGTGAAGCTGGAACTTGTTAAAAACCTGTTTTGTATATGAAATGTATTAATAAAAATGTGTGTCTCTTCCCCTACATTCATCACCATTCAGGAGCTGAAATAGTCCCTCTTTGCTCCCAGATTTTCCATTTGAGAGCTCTTCAACAAAATTCCAGAACACATTCAAAGGATGGGGAGAGGAGGAGGAGGGGAATTGTATCAAAATGCCATATTTAATCTGAAAGTATTTTAACTGAAGTTTTCCTGCCAGCTGAAAATGAAAACACAGAAAGTCCCCTGGGAATGTTTGGGAGCAGTAAATAAGTTCCCTTTTCTGTTCAGCATAATTCCTATTTATGTCACTGACTTGTAAAAATCTCCCAAATCACCAGAAAGGAAACCTGAGCAGAAATATGCAGGAATTTCTTCACAGCTGGTCTTCCATCCTTTAGCCAACTCTGGAATGTGTTTATTGTGAGGGTGGGGAGGCCCTGGCACACGTTTCCCAGAGAAGCTGTGGCTGCCCCATCCCTGCAAGTGTCCAAGGCCAGGTTGGAGCAACCCGGGATAGTGGAAGGTGTCCTTGCCCATGGCAGGGGGTGGAACAAGATGAGCTTTAAAGTCCCTTCCCACCCAAACCATTCCATGATTTTATGGTTCACCCACTCTCATCCCTGGCTCTCATCACCCAAAAAGCCCCAAAAGCCCTCAAAATGTTCATCTTCCAGCGTGTCCAGCTGGGCATGAAGAGCTGAAAGGTCAGTGCTCCTGCCCAGCACAGCAGCACGAGGTGCTGGGGGGTGACTGTGCTGCCTTCCAGCTCCTCTGTGACAGTATCTGTCAGGGAACAAACAGGATCCAAAGGAAGGACATCCATCCTGGAAAGCACACGGCAGCCAGCGGAGCTCAGTGTGTCACATTTATCTTCTCGAGAGGGGTCGGTGCTTAATGTCACCGGAAAATGGATGGTTGTTGCTTATCACCGTGGTGGGTGGAGGAGGAAAATAAATCTCAGTGTAAAAATGCACTGAAAGAGCCACTTCAGGGCAATTCAAGAGCCCCCCAAGCCACAGAAGAGGCACAATCAGCTCTCGAGTAACCAGCAGGGTCAGTGAACGTTATGAACTAATTCTTACAAGTCCTTTATCCGTGCTGGTCTTAAACCAAAAATATTGTCACAGCAACCAGAGGGATTAAAAAAATAAACAAACGCCAATCTTCATCCCCTGAGTCTCTGATTAACCTCCCTACACGACAGCAGAGAGCTGGGATGGAGCATCTCCTGGTCTTGGCTTTGGTGGCACAGGCGTCAGCAGCTTCCTGCCAGTCTAATCACATCATTAAACCTCTGCCAGTCGGGTTTTCCGCTTCGAAAGCAGACAAACTGCTTCCCGCTGCCGGGGAAGAGGCCGAGAGAGATGATACAGCAGCGCTGTCACCGCTCCCACTAATCGTGCTGGTGATTAGCGACTCGGAATAACAACACAGATAATTAGCTCCTCGTTCCCAATAATCACACGTTCTTGTGAGCTCCTGAAATCTCAGGTCTTAAAAGGGGAGAAGAGCCTTCAGCCGCTGAATCTGAAGCGTTTGGAGTGAACAGAAAGCTGCGCGGATCTTGGAAGGGCTCTGCCAGTGACTCCTGGAAAGCAGCTGTCGAGAAGTTTTAGAATTTTAAGTCTTAAAAATAAATTGAGGGGGGGGGGAAATCGGTTTTAGATCTCAGGTCTTCGCCAGCAGCTCCTGGAAAGCAGCTGTGGAGAACTTTTCGAATTTGAAGTCTTTAAAATATAAATAAAGCAACCAGTTTTAGGGTTGACTTCGTCTCCAGTCCAAGCACATCAAAGCAAGGCACAAAGCTGAGCCCGGGCGACATGTGACAT